AGTGGGGAGGGGGTAGGGGGAGGGGTAAACCCCTCCCCGAAGGGGAAGAGGGAGGGGTGGAAGAGGAAACGCCCTAAACCACCGACGCCCAGAGGGCTGGTGGGATTTTGGTCCAGAGTCCGCCGGTAGGGGGACAGGCTCGACCGAAGCCTCCTCGGCTGCTCTGCGGAAGTCCGGGCGAGGCCGGGGGGGGTGGGCGTCGGGCCGCCCGGGAAGCGCCGCCGGGAAGGGGGGGGGCGGTGCAGGCGCCGCTGCGTTCGACGGAGAACAACAGCAACAAAACAAGTCGCAGAGGCAACCAGAAGACAGGACACGCCCTGTTCGTTTTTGTTCGTTTGCTGTTGTTGTTTTTGTTGCTTCTCTCTCTATATATATATATATATGTTTTTGTTCATGACTTTCAGGTGTCCTACCAGACAGCACGCGGCATTCCGCCACGCCTCAGCCTGCCAGGGAGGCACAGTCGCAGCTTTCTGCGCGCTACATTTCCTCGCTCCTCCTCTCCACCGCCCTCCCCCCTCCCATCCTCGTCGTCCGCCCCCTTCCTAGCTAATCCCCTCCTTCCCTCCCTTCCCCCTCTCCCCCTCCCTCTCCCTGCCTCCCTCCCTCCCTGCCTCCCTCCCTCCCCTCCCTAATCCCCTTCCTCCCTCCTCCCTCCCGCCTTCCTCCCTAATCCCCTCCCTCCCTCCCTTCCCTCCCCCTCCTGGTCCTCTCTCCCTCCGTTTTCCCTTCTGGACCTCGCTCGGGCCCTTTTTTTCCCACGGTCGGGCTTGTGCCCGAGCCGCCTAGCTGTGCTTGCACGCTTGGCGCCGCGCCTGATCAAACATCTCCTGCAGTAGTCATTTAGGCCCACGCGTGGCTTGCAGGGAGTTCCAGGGTGGACGCGCGCGCCCAGTTGGGTGCACGCAGATTCGTTCCGTGGACTGCGAGGCCGACGTCCGGCAGGTTTCGGGCAGCGCGGAGCACCTTCGGCGTCCGTGCGCCATAGAGTACAGCGTGCCGCGAGGAAACGGAACACCACGCACGGGCTACAGACATCAGCTACAGTGTGGGGACGAGCGCGTGCGAGAACGGTGGCAGCCACAGTCATCAGCTGCGTGGCTGGGACTAGACGGTGCGGCTGCGCTGCACACAGGCGGGTCAGCAAGGACAACGATGGCACCAGCTCTGGCGAACAGGAGCGCAGGGTTTTTTATCGGGCATTGCGAGGCGAGCGAGAGTGGGAGCGGGACGCCAGCTACAATACAGGTATGGGTTTTTTGCGGGAAGGCGCGCAGTGGCAGTTTCGGGAACTATGGCAAGGCGTGCGTAGGGGAGGGCCACGAGCTACCATGTCGGTATCTTCGTTTGCGAGGAGGCGCGCAGCGGCTGCATCGGGCGTTGCGAGGAAGGCGACCGTGAGCGCGGGAAACTGGCTAAAACGCAGGGGGCCGTTCTTGCGACAAGGCATACACAGGAGGGGGCCATCCGCTACACTGCTCGTACCAGCTCTTGCGAGAAGGTGCACAGTTCAGTAATCTTGCGCTGCGAGAAGGGCGAAAGTGGCAGCGGGGCCATCACTTGCAATGCTGGCTTCAGCGCGTGAAAAAATCCGGCATGGCGCGACGGGCGAACGCGAGCGGGAAAGTAACAATGCAGGTATGGGGGCTCTTGCGAGCAGGCGCGCAGTGGCAGCTTCCAGAAGTGTGGCAAGGCGGACGCAGGGGAGGGTCATCAGCTACGGCGCCGGGATCTTTCCTTGCGAGAAGGCGCGCAGTGGCCACACCGAGCGCTGCGAGCGGGGCAGCCGTCAGCGCGGGACACCACCTGCAGTGCAGGGATCCGTTGTTGCAACAAGGCGATCAGTGGCAGCTTCAGGCACTGTGGAATAGCAGACGCAGGAGCGGGTCATCAGCTACCATGTTGGTATCTGCTCTTGCGAGAAGATGCGCAGTGCTCTCATCCGGCATGGCGCGACGGGCGAAAGTGGGGGCGGGGCGCCAGCTGCAATGCAGGTTTGGGCTCTCGCGAGGAGGCGCGCAGTGGCAGCTTCTGGCAGTATGACAAGGCGAACGAAGGGGATGGCCAATGCCCGTGCCCGCTCTCGCGAGAAGGTGCGCAGTGGCTGCATCGGGCGCCGCGGGCAGTGCGGCAGTGAGCGCGCGACACCAGCTAAAGTGCAGGGGTCCGCTCTTGCGGAAAGGCGCGCAGTGGTAGATTTTGGCACTGCGGAGGGGCAGATGCAGGGGCAGGCTGTTTGCCACCATGCTTTGCACCCGCTCTTGGGAGGAAGCGCGAGGCGCACGTTCAGCTGCTGCGCCGGTGTCCTCGCATCAGAGCTGGCATGCGGTAGCGTGCGAGCGGGACGCGAGGCGCTTTGGCGCGCTCAGCAACAACGCCAGCATCGGGGCGTCAGAGCTGGCGTGGCGCAGGCGCGCCGGCCGAGCGGCGAAAGGAGAACAATGGCAATCTGTTCGTTGCATTCGAGAAGGGGCACGGGCTGGGGTAGCGTGTGCGGCGATGGGTTTTTGCGGGCGAAATTCTTCCGATGGTCAGCTTGCGTGGGCGGCATTGAGAAGGAGGTATACGCCATCCCGAGCGAGAACGGCCAAGGGTAGACTGATTCGCTATGGGAAAGCAGCCATCCATCAGGAGTTCCATTGTGAGTCTGAACTCGCATGGCGCGAGGAGTCGTGTTTCGCGTGCGCCATCGGAGCATGGGCCTAAGCAGCGCAATCCAGCACAATCCCTTCCCCCCCTGATCCTCTCATCTGTCCCCCTCTGGCCCCCTTGCGTGGGGAAAAGGGGGGAAAGGCCAAGATGTGGGAAGGATGGGGTGGGCGTGGGAAAGAGGGGGCGGGGGAGGGGAAGGGGAGCTGCTTGAACATTGCGCGCGCGCACCCCACCCATTCGTTGCGACTGTTTGTAGCGGAGTGCTCAAATGAGCGTTCGTGCCGCCCCGATCCTGGCCCCCCAGACACCTGTCTGCTTGCGCCCTGGGAGATACCTCGCTCCTCGATCGTCGATGCCCGCGGACCCACGGCACCACCTGCTCGCCGACGCGATGCCCTCACGCGGCCCCCTGCAAATGGGGGAGGCGCCATGCGTCGCATCGGCGGGGGTCTCTCTCCGCGATAGGTGGGGCCTCCAGGCGCCGTGAGAGAGTTGGGAATTCTGGACGGAGGCAGCGCGACGCGTCGCGCGCGGCGACGTAGCCGCGCCGCATTGGCGAGGGTGGTCCCGCACTACGATCGGCGGTGCCTCAAGACACTGGGGGCACGAGGACAACCGAAACATCGAAATGTGTTGTTTCCGCGTGCGGGGCAGCGTCCAGCAAATTCCAGGGGCAACCGCAAGCACGTTGTTTCCACGTGCGGCGCCGCCCCAGGACAGCCCCAGGGGCCGCCGTCTCATGGCGCCATATGCCCATGCAGCGTCGAGCAAGCACAAGGGACCGCCGCACGTGTACGGCCCACGCGGGTCCGCCCACCATGGGGCCGTCGTGCCGTGGCTTCAGATCCCAGTGCGGTCTCGAGCAATCCTCAGGGACCGCCGCACATGCACGTGCCATGCGGGGCCGCCCCCCCACAGGGGGCCGCCGTCTCGTGGCTTCACATGCCGATGCATCCTCGAGCGCGCACGAGGGACCGCCGCACGCTGCGTTCCATGCGGGGCCGCCCCCCAGGGGTGGGCGCAGTTTCGAGCAGGCATTACAGGCCGCCGCACGTGTATTTTCCATGCGGGGCCGCCCCCAAAGGGGGGCGCCGTCTCGTAGCTTCACATGCCGATGCAGCCCCGAACAGGCACGAGCAGGCACGAGGGCCCGCCGCACATGTGCGTCCCATGCGGGGCCGACCCCCGAGGGGCCCCGCCCGACGTCCATCGGGCAGGCCCTGCTCTGCACCCTCCTGGCTCTCGGGTCGGACTAAGAAAGGTACGTACGGAGTCTGCTGCGTGTTTGGAGCCGCGACCGCCCGTACCATACCTCATTTCCTCTCCTGTCTTCCTTCCACGAGTAGGACGAGGAGGAGGGGAAGCACTGGCAGGAGGAAGGGTTCGCTTATCCCTCTACATGGGATGCAACTCTTGGGAGGTTAAATTCGGCGTCTGCGCTGGTCTAGCCTTTTCATCTGAGCTATTATTGCGTAGTGACCCCCTAAGTAAGCTTAGTCGCCATTCACCCTTAATCGTTTGTTACGGAGAGATTCCTAGAGTTACTTCCTATACTCCCACAGCCCCCTCCTTCGTGCAAGCCGACCTGCTCCTCCACGAGGAGGAGGAGGAGGAGGAGGAGGAGGAGGAGGAGGAGGAGGAGGAGGATTCGTTGACCCCTTCTTTGGCACAGCCAACGTGCTTCCGTAAGCCACTCCGAATGCGGATCGAAGCGCCTCGGCCACGAAGTGGGTCCCCGACCCAAATCGGAGGAACGCTCCGAAAATCAGAGCCTCTCCTGAGCCAAAGGTGGTTGTTATCTCAGCATCTTGATTGCACCATCACCCGTTTTGCCCGATCTGATCCGATCCCCATAGTTCGGCAGATTGATGCGGGCCATGGTTTGCATGGCGTTGTTCTGCATTTTGGCACTGCCAATTCACTCTATTCGGTTCGATTTCGATTCGATTTTGCGGTGCAGATGCAGCCCGGTCCGATGCACGAGTCGGAAACCGGTCCGATTTCCCCATCCGATGCTGACCGATTTTGCCTTCTGCCCCCCTCGCCCCCTCCCCGCTTCGAAGAGACCAAGGCGGGCAAAGATGTCATCTCCCGTATGCGTCGTGGCTTAACTCCTGAGTCGAGAATGAAGTTCCAAGAGTTCCGATTGTTTTTTTGTCGAGCGGCCTGGCTAGCGCCAGAGTGACGAAAATGGCTTAATCATACAAATCAGCAGAAGCATAGCATCACTACTAGGATTGAGAATGCCCATATAATGCTACGAGAGATAATGATCGCAGTCGTAGTATTGCTTATGATACTGATCACAACCAAGTGTAGTGATAATGCTACCGCCCCCCCCCCCCGAGAAGGCGCGGCGCGGGTGGCGCTGGGCGCAGACCGGCGAGGAGGTCGAGGTGACGGTCGGCGTGCCGGAGGGCACCGCCAAAGGGGACGTCCGCGTGGACATCGGGAGCGCGTCGCTGCGCGTGGCGCTGCGGGGCGAGCCCGCGGCCGCCCTCGCGGACCTTCGCCTCTACGCGGGCGTGCTCCCAGAGGAGCGGGGGGGGATTGGGGGGGGAGGTTCACTCAGGAGGGGAAAAAACACACAGACACAATTAATCGTCGACTCCCAGGAGAATATAGGAAAATTGGGCAGTGGGGGGAAGACGAAAATCCAGAACTTCTGGATTTTCGTCTTTCCCATATCTTCTGGACCAGAAGATATGGGAAAATATGGGGAATATGTTTATCTGTGTGTATTTATTAGTATGTCCCAAGGCCACTTCAGTCACGCGTTTTGCTGTCAGCCAGCCTGTCGTCCTCTCTGGCTGGGTCTCGCTTCCAGGCCTCGAGGGCTTGCGTGTCGTCGTCCTGCTGCTCGGCGAGGCGGCAGAGCGTTGCGCGGCGCAGGTCGACACCACCAGCGAACGCGTGCGCGTGTGCGTGCGCGGGGCCAACCTGCGCGCGTGCGGATGATGCGTCGTCCCTGGCGAACGTCGGCATGTGAGTTCGCGTGTGCACGGGGGCACTCGCCGGTCAATCGCAACGTATTGCCGATTCCTGGCTCATGTGTTCCCCCTCCCTGAGCCAGTCCCCCCCCCTTTCTGTGAGGGGAGTCACGTCTTCTCGAATAGAAGTTGTCGAAGCTCAGAGCGGATTTCTCGGATCTTTGTTCCGACGCCGCCCCCTGCGCGCAGAGAGAGCCAGGGGTGTTCAGCGCCGATGCAGGAAAGTCACACAGACCTCAAAAGTGTATGCTCATCATGTTCTTTCTTCTCCGCCCAGGGAGGGGAAGGGGGGAAAGAGTGGGGGGGAGTGGGGGGAGAGGGAGTGCAGGAGGCAAGGGAGGGGAGGCGGTGCAGGAGGAGGGAGGTGCAAGAGGAGGCACGTTGCAAGAGGGGATCGGAGGGGAGGAAGGGAGGGGTGTGGAGGAGGAGGAAGAAGGGAGGACGAGGAGGAATGCAAGAGGGGGACAGGAGCAAGATAATCAAGGCAATCTGGAGTGCAGATGAGGAGCTACGCGTGGACGAGGAGTAGGAAAAAGGGAGGGAGGAGACAGACAGCATGAGCACGAGAAGGGGGATTCTACTGATGAGCGAGGAGGATGGTGCAGGCTAGAGAGATGAAGAGAAGGAGCATCAGAGGAGGATGACGAGGAAATCCCAGACGGTACGTTAATAGCCATCGACGCCCACCTTACGTCAAACAGTTATGGAATCTTGAGTACAGCAGGAGGAACATGAGAAGGATCATACAGGGGGAGGAGGAGGAGGAGGAGGAGGAGGAGGAGGAAGAGGAGGAGGAGGAGGAGAAGATGATGATTCCGAAAAGGATGATGAACATGCGGAAGAGGAGAAGGAGGCGGAGGAAAGAGGGTGAATGAGCAGGACCACAGTGAGGCGGGCGGGTGAGGACTGGGAGAAGGGGGACGAGGAGGAAGTGCAGGAGGAGAACGAGGGAGGGACAGAGGAAGGGGTTCAAGACAAGGAGAACGAGGAGCGCTTGGGCTGGGGGAGCCTGGAGGAGAGCACGTGGACACTCCTCTCGGACCAGCGGGGTCGGCACGTCCAGGCGACGGTGGCCGAGAAGCAGGAGCGTGTGCACGAGGAGGGCCACCGGCGGCGCGCCGAGGGGGGGAGCGGGGCGAGGCAGGCCGTCCCAGAGTGCGGCGGAGCCTCCGAGAGGCCCTCTGCGGCTCCGGAGGAGGCTCGGAGTGCTCGTCGGAGCGCCGGAGGCCTTCTGAGCAGGCCCGCCCCATCTGCCGTCCCTCCCTCGGGCGCGCCGCAGAGTTCAGGAGGGGAGGGGAAGCGGAGGAGGGGGAGGTAGCAGTGCCTGGGATGTTGATGCTGCTGCTGCTGAGGAGGAGGAGGGGGAGGAGGATGAGGATGTGGATGTGGATGAGGAGTAGGATGCGGAGGATGATAAATATGATAATGATGTGGATGAGGATGATGATAAGGGTAAGGATGATGATGATGATGCTTGCAAATGATGACGATGATGCTGATGATGATGGTTATCATCGCCATGATCATGATCATGATGAGCATGACGGTCATGATGAAGACGGTATGCTCAGGATGATCATGATGATCATGATGAAGACGATGATGATGATGATGATGATGATGATGATGATGATGATGATGGTGATGATGATGATGGTGATGACGATGACAATGGCAATGACGATGTTGCTGATGATAATGCCGATGATGGTGATGATTCTGATGATGATGCTGATGATAATGATTATGAGTATGATTATGATGATGCTGCTGCTGATGACGATGATGATGGTGTTGATGATGCTGATGGTGGTGATGATGATGATGGCGATGGTGATGGTGATGGACATGCTGGTGGTGGTCATGATGGTGGTGATGATGATGATGATGATGATGAGGAGGAGGAGGAGGATGTGGAAGAGGAGGAGGAGGAGGAGGAAGAGGAGGAGGAATAGGAGGATGATGTTGGTGGTTATGATGTTGACGACGATGAGGAGGAGCAGGATGATGAGGAGGTGGAGAAGGAGGTGGGGGTGGAGGAGTGTGAGGAGGGAGGGAGGGAGAGAGGGAGGAGGAAGGAGGATTGCAAAGATTTCCGCCATCACGAGAACGATCAGGCCATGAAGCTCACAGCCCATTTCCGTCAACCCGCATAGCAAAGACGAACAATTTTTCAAAGGTGCCCTTGCATTCTTCCCCTTCGGCCCAAACTTGCCCGCTTTCGCTGGCCGCGCCCCGCTCGCAAAGTGTCGGCATGGCCTTCCAAGGCCAGTGCATCCGTGTCGTGCGTCCTTACTATACGGGTCGACTGTAAGCAGCAATCCCTAGGCGCTTGACGGCTTTTCGCGAATCGATTTGTGGGGATCAAGCCAGACAAATGGAGGCGAATGCAGGTAAATCGAGGTACATACAGGGAATTCCGAGGACACCCAGGCAATTCCAGGCAAATCCATCATCTCGCCAGGGGAATGTGGAGCAACCCGTGGCCGCTCCCGCGCGAGCCGAAGGACGGCAGAAGTCGTCGAGCCCTTCGCGAGGCCTGCCCAAAAGGCCCGGCCTTCCAGGAGGCGGCGGCCGCCCCCGCGGCTCCAGGCCGCAGCGCGCATGCGCGCTGCGGCGCAGCCCTCGGGGGCCCGGCGGCCCGCAGAGGCCGGGCGGAGGGCGGGCGGAGGGCGGGCCGGGCCGCCGCGCGCCCTCTGCGGGGCGCCGGGCGCCCCCCCCCCCTCCAGACAGACGCCCTTCTCGAGGGCGTCTCGTGCTCGCCGAGCTTCGAGAAGCAGACGGCCAAAACCCACCCCCAGTCCCGACCCCATCCGCGTGCCGGCGACTCAAGGGGTCGGGACTGGGGGTGGGGGCGGGTCTTCTCCGCGCTGGGGCTCCGGAAAGCTACCCCCACCCCACGTCCCGACCCCTTGAGTCGCCAGCTCGGGGATGAGGGTCGGGGCTGGGGGTGGGAGTGGGTTTTCGCCGTCCCAAAGAAGACGTCCTGGAGCGAAGCGTAGGAGGTCTTGCTTCGGCGGCGATCGAGGGGGCGACGTGAGAAGGAGAAGGCCGCCGCGTGCCCTCTGCCGGGCGCCGAGCCCCCCCCCAAAAACAAAACAGAAACCTTCTGGAGGGTCGTCTCGTGATCGTTTTTCTGATTCATTGCTTTGCCGATCGGCGCGGGCCCTCGCACCCCACCTCTCCCCCCCACCACCACAGAAACCCTCCTCGAGGGCCGTCTCGTCGTCGTTTTCTGATTCCTTGTTTTGCCGATCGGCGCGGGGCCTGAAACCCCTCTTCCCCCCCCCCACTGGAGTAGATCTTGGCTGTGCTTGGCGCCTGTTTCGAGCAGGTGGGGCCTCCCCCACGGGACGCTCTGGTGCAAACAGTGGCATTATGCAGAAGTCCGGGCCCCCCCTCCCTTCCCCCTTTCCGCCCAATGTCGAAACGCCGAATAAGAAAACGTTCGCCTCCTGCTCGTCGAGCTTCAGGAAGACGTCCTGGAGCGAAGTGTGGGAGATCTCAATTCGGCGGCGAGCGAGGGGTGGGGACGTGAGCAGGAGGAGGTCTTATCAGAGGGCGGCGGGGCTTTGCAGAAGCCCTCCGACCTTCTGAGAGGTTTTATGTGCCTTCGGGGAAGGCTCAGAATATTTGTCAGAAGGCCAGGGGACTTCCGAGCCTTCTGAGAAGGCCCGCCCCTTCTCTCCCCCCCGGGCTCGCCGCTGATTCAAGAAGACGTCCTCGAGCGAAGTGTGGGAGGCCTTCAAGGCACCCTTCATGTTCTAGAGGTCCTCGCGCGTCTTCTCGACACAGGCTCTGCTCCTTGACCTCGTCGCCAAAGGTCGTCGTGCAAGTCTTGGAGCACCACCACCTGCTGCTGCTCTATCGGCTGCGACTCAACGCACTCCTTGAAGATCGCGTACTTCCTCATGACGACGTCGTATTTCTTCTCGGCGTTGAGGCTCAGCCGGCTGTAGCGTTCCTCTATCTTCAGCTGCAGTTTGCTAGCTTCGGCCTGCCAACTGATGAGGCCCACGTCGTACAACTGCATCTTCTTCAGCTCCGCGACAAAAGACGGAAACTTCGGGTTGGGCTGGTCCAGCCGCGCCGTGAAGTGGTGGAGCGATGCACTCACAATCGGAGTGCCGTCATCGGCACTCGATTTCGTCATCTTCAGTTCCTTCTCGGCCAGGTTCTGCTTCTCCACCTCGACCTTGGATGCATCCGAGAGGACCCCCGCCACGCTGGGCAGCAGCGCCACATCGGGGCGTGCCTCTGTGCTCCAGCAGCGGCTCGGGTGGCCCACGCGCGAGGCCGAGCCGTTCTCGCCCCGCGCCCGGAGTGCCTCCGTGAGTATCGGGAGGCCAGGACGCTTCGCGCAGCCCAGGGCCGCGCTGGGCGGCTACAAGGGGGCTCCTCCTGCTGTGTCACTGCCAGTCTGCGGCCTGGCACTGGCGAAGCTTCGCCAGCGTCCGAGGTCGGGCGGGTGGCAAATGGGGGGTGACCCGACTGGGGGGTGAAGAGAAGAACACGGCCCTGAAGGAGCCCTGGAGGGCCCCTTTTGGAACCAGCAGGGGCCCCAAAGGGCCCCTTCAGGGCCTTCTTCCTCACCTCCCATGTGGGCCCGTAGGGCCTTTTTCTGCATCCTCCATTGGGGATTGCTTTTCTACTGGTTTGCAATGCCTTGCGTCGCGTGGCATGGCTTCTCATTGCTTTGCCTTGTTGTGCGTTGATGTTCATTGCTCTGGATTGTTTGGCATTGTTTTCATTGCTTTGCATTGCAGTGCACTGTTCTGCATTGAGTTGCATCGCTTTGCGTTGCTTGGCATTGCATTCCATTGCATTCAATTGCATCACTTTCTTTGCGTTGCTTTGCACTGCGGTGCATTGATGTGCCTTGCCTTGCACTGCTCTGCTAAAGGAGCCCCGACGGAGCCTCCACGTGGGTCACCCCCCGTGACCACCCGCCCGACGGGGCGGCTCCTCGGCAGACAGCTGCCGCCATCTTGGTGGCGAGGCTGCTCGAGAGAGCGGGACTCGCCGCCCTGGCTTCCGGCGCCGCTTGGACTCAGGAGGGAAAAACACACAGACACAATTAATCGTCGATTCCCCAGAAATTATAGGAAAATATGGAAAGTGGGGGGAAGACAAAAACCCAGAAAATATGGGAACATATGGGGAGTCCTTTTATTTGTGTGTATGTATTTGTGTGTCCCAGGGCCCCTTCATGGACGCCGGCCCGCGCCGCGCAGCCGGCCATCCAGGGCACCGCAGGCCAGGGCGGTCGCGCCGGGGCTGCGGCGGCCTGGCGCGTCCAGCCCCACGGCTCGAGCCAAGAGGGCTGCGGCGGGGAGGAGGGAGGAGGGCGAGGGCGGAGAGGGAGGAGAAAGGCGGGCGAACAGGAGGGAAGAGGGAGGGAGGGAGGGAGGAGAAAGCAGGGAAGAGGAGGGAGGAGGGAGGAGGGAGGGGGGAATGGAGGAAGGCACGAGGGAGGAAGGGAGGGGAGGGAATTGGAGAGAGGAGGAGTGAAGAGGGAGGAGGGAGGCAGGGAGGGTTCGGAGTGTTCGGGCCTCGGTGCCACGTACGCGGTCCGCGGGCGGGCAGGACCTCCCACCCCTGAGTGGGGAAATCAACCAGTGCGGGACGGCGGCAGCAGGCCTCGGCACAGCTGGGCAATTCTCAGTCCACAACGATGTTCTTGCTCCAGCGTGGCTGGGTGCCTGTGCTGAGGCTACTGCCGCAACCGTCAGCGCTGGCGCTTGGTCTGCTTCTTGCCAGAGGTCGTCGAGGATCTCGTCGAGGTCGGTGTCGATTCTTGAGTCGAAGCAGGCGCACCTCCGCGATGGCTGTGAATTCTACCTCAACGCTCTCGGGTTCCTCGTTCTGGTGCTGCTCTTGGTGGTGGCCAGCACCCCCGCTCAGCAGGGCGCGGTTGGGAAAGGTCATCGCTCCGTGATGAATGCCCTGAATGCCCTCCAAACTTGCAGGGGCCATGCTGTCGCCCTCGCCTGGCCAATGCGGCGGGCCTGGTTCGGTCTGCACGTCATTGCCGCACGTCTTGGGGTGCTCCTCGCCCAAACTGCGGCGCCGGGCGCCAAGCTCAACTGCCTGCTAGTGGTGGTAGGCGCGGCAGGGCCCACCATCTCCTTCTCCTGGTAGTTGGTGGCACTACGGCAGGACGGCAAGTGGCTCGGCGCACTCCCAGTAGCTGGAGGCACAGCGGAGCCGCACACCAGCGGCGGACGTGCCGAGC